CTGCTGTCACCGCGGTGCTGCTGTATGTAGCTTGTAGATCTTGTAGTGTATCACAGAGGTTACACTGCTGTGAGATCGGTAGGCCCGAGCAAGCTTCGGAAAGAGNACTTGTATCTCAGCTCAGCAGAAAAACAAATAACAAGCAGCAAACACAGCAGGTTCCGAGGGTCTCCGGGGTAATGGCCCGAGTATCGGAGTTTCGGGGTTCAGAACAATAGATCGACTCCAATGTCGCCTGCCAAATTATCTCCGCTACAACTCTGTGCTCATGTTCTCTGCTGAGTACCATCTCTTCTTTTTGTATTATGTCTACGGAAGGCTAGTTGCCGCAGTCGCACCTATGGTAAACTGTGCCTGACTACGTTGTAACAGTTTTCCTCGACACGACCCCTCGATTAGGCAAGTAGCCGATGTTCCAAACAACCTTCACTTCGCTGCCATTCTTGCGACCCCTCGATTCCCAATCCATATCAAAGAATATCGACCTCCACATGAGTGAATCCATCCTGTGAGCAATACACGCGTCCAAAACATTCAACCATACTATGCGATCTTGTGCTTAATATCTTCTAGCACTTGTAGTCCTTGATGAGTTGCATGATGGTGGCGAATCGCTGCTTCGGGAGATGTTTCGTCGCGATGTCCGCCAACATCGTGGCACTAGGTTGGTGGTGAAGAGTGATCCGGTGCCCCTTCGTGAGTTCCCTGAGGAAGAAGAACCGGAGCGCCATGTGCTTGGCTCTCGAGCTGAACATCGCGTCGCTGGCCACAGTCAATGCTCCGGTGCTGTCGCTGTTGATGGGTCCGATCGAAAGGTCTTGAATCCGATTTCCGTTATGAAGTTTGAGATGTAGACTGCCTCGCGAGCACTGTAGCTCAGCGCTTGAAGTTCGGCCTCCACGGTGTTCTGTGCTGCGAGAGTCTGTGCCTTGGCTCCGTAGCTGATCAGTCCCCCTCCTAGGAAGAACAGGTATCCGGTGGTAGACCTGCCGTTGTCTGGGTTGGCTCCAAATGACGAGTCAGTGAAGCACGAGAGTCTGAACTGCCCCTTCTTGTACACGATCGGCAGGTCTGGCGTTCCGCGTAGGTACTGTAGTAGGTGCTTGGCCGCAGCCAACTGGACCTGTGCTGGGTTTGCGCATGCCCGTGTCAGTTGGTGCACTGCGTATGACAGATCGTAGCGGGTGCATTGGGCAAGGTACAGGAGACTCCCGGTGATGGCCTGGAATCTCTGCTTGTCCTCGGGTCCGAGTAGTTGGTCTTGTGGCTGCTCGGTTGATAGTTCTGCTCCATACCCGGGGGTGCTGACCGGGTTTGCCTGTTCCATTCCGTATCGCTGTAGGATATCTCTCGCGTAGGGTCCTTGCGATATGGCTAGTGTGCCATGTTCGTAGTCCCGCTGCACTTCGATGCCGATTACGCGCTTGACCTCTCCCATGTCTGTCATTTCGAAGCTGTCCATGAGTTCCTTCTTTTTCCTGCTGACGATCTCTTTGTTTCCACCCGTGATGAGGATGTCATCGACGTAGATCGCGAGGATTGTGAGCTCGTCCCCGCTTACGAAGATGTAGACACAGGGGTTACAGTGAGTGCGCTGCCAGCCGAAGATGATGAGTCTGTCATTGATGGCGTCCTTCCACAGTGACGGGGACTGTGACAGGCGTACAGACTTTTCTCCAGTTTGTAGACCATCATTTCACCTGTCGTGGGGTCCCTCTCCTCGTCGCCTGGCGCCGGCCTGACGTAGACGTCTCTGTCGGTGTACGCGTTCAGGAATGCAGCTACCACGTCCAATTGGTACACCTCCCATCCGTGTTCGCAAGCGATGGCGAATAGCATGCGGATGCTACCCAATCGGGTTACTGGAGCGTAGTTCCTTCCGAAGTGTCGTCCTGCTCGTTGGCGGTGTCCCCCCGCGACTAAGCGGGCCTTGAAGCGGCTGTCGGGCTTGATGTTTAACACGAAGCGTGTGTCGAAGTTGTCCTCATCCTTCGGTACCAGGCTGATGCGTACTTTCTTAAAGACTTTGTGCTTGGCGAGATTACCCATCTCGGTGTCGATAGCGCTCTTCCACTGCTCGCGTTGTGGTGAGTTCATGGCTTCGGTGTACGTGCTCGGAGTTTTGATCTCTTGGTTTGTCTCCCCCAAGAACCCTTTGCACGAGGTGCCCGTGGCGTAAGCATACGCCCGGACTTCGGCGAAGGGGTCTTCATCCAGGTGAGCAAAATCCGCCGCGTCAGTAGGGCATCGTTGCTGCGCTTGGTGGGTGAGATCGAGTAGTTGATCCTCGGTGAGCTCCAGTGGGTCGGGGTGGCTGACAGCCATGGCAGAGCGGCCTCTGTCGTTCATGTTCACTTCCAGAGATTTCGGGATGCATGAAGGGTCGATAGGGTCATCTGTGGGTTGGTGAGTACGCTTGGCAGGACGGGTCACCGTTAATCGACGCATTGGGATCGGGGCTGGCGAAGCGGAGTCCGTGTTAGTTCGTGTCGTGGGTGATTCGAGTGTCGTGTCCTGCGATGTCCTGGATGGTGTCGTAGTCCGCGGGTTGTTATTGTTGTCAGCTCCCCCAGCAGCAAAGTAGTCGTCGGTATCCGTGCCCGCGTTGTGTTGGCGAAGCTCTGCTCGGTCGATGTTGTCTTGCTGCATGTTGCGCATCTCGTGCAGCAGGAGCTCTGATTGTGTTCCGTAGTCCACTTTGTTGTCTTCGTCGCCCGTAGAGGTACGGCGTCCGAGCAATGACGTGAAATTCATCACGTCCTGTTCATATCCGAGACGGTCGTCCCACCGGTGAGGGGGGATGGTGTTGGGTGGAGTCTCGATGAAAGTCACGTTCCGGCTCTCGTAGACCTTGTCTTTGCCCTCCACGTAGATCCGGTACGTCTTGCTGTCCGGTCCGTAGCCGCAGAGCTTGCCTTTAAAGGCCCGGTCGTCTAGCTTCTTCTTGTATCGCTCGTGATGAACGAACGCGCGGGCGCCGATGGCACGAAGTCGAGAAAGGTCCGGGGTTGTGTTGTACATCTTGGAATACGGCGTGGCTCCCCCTAGCGCCGCGTGTGGGGTCCTGTTGGTCAGGTATGCAGCAGTAATCTTGAGCTCCCCCCACATGTGGTTTGGGAAGTCTCCATCGCGCAGTAGAGCTCGAGTCACAGCCGCAAGTGTCTGGCCATCCCTTTCTGACACTCCGATTTATTCTTCGGGACGGGAGCCTTCTTGTGCTTCGTGATGTGGCAGTTGTCGCACGGGGATACAGGTCCATCATGTTTCACACCTGTGGCGGGGTTGCGCCTCAAGATCTCCATAGCACTTGGATTGATGTGGCCGAGGCGCCGGTGCCAGAGGTCGGCGCTCACGCTCATCGCCACTGAGCATGTCGCGTGCGGAGTGTGATCGATCTGTACCGCTTCTGGTTTTCGGAACTTCGGCTTGCGCCCTGGTTCTTGGTTGTTCGGGGGTGTCTTGCTTGTCGACGCTGGATCGCCCTTGAATGTGATCGCGAGGGTGCACATGCCTTGGTCTTGAGTCTCTTGTTTCAGAGGAACGACGACTTCTCCGCCGATGGTGAGGTGTGGGGTCTTGTCTTCCAGGACACATCGGAGGCCCTTCTTGAGAAGGGCCGTTGGTGTGAAGATGTGCCGGCCTAGTCCTGGCACGATGATACCATGTAGCTTGACGGGTAGTTGCTGTTCTTTGTCGTTTTTGATGGTGCAGTGTAGGATCCCAGTGGTAGTGCCTCGTAGTTGGCTTTCTCCTGTAACGTCGATGATCTTGGGCGTCGGACGTTCTTCTTCGAGACGTCCATTCGGGATGAGGCGGTTGTCGAAAATTGTCTCAGAAGCTCCAGAATCCACCAGCGCGGAAGTCCCAGTTGCAGTTGTCGTGAAAGTGCGTCCGCTTCCCTTGCTGCATGTAGCATGGTACATGTATCCACCCTTGAATGCATCTTCGTCGTAAGAGAAGTCGATGTCTGCCTTCTCGGTCTTCTCTGTTTCTTTGGGAGTTTCCGTTGTGGTAGGCTTGGCGTGTGTGTCTCCTGACTGGGTTGCGCAGTGCACGCAGTGTGTGCATGCAGAAAAGGCCTTGCCCGCGCGTTCGTGTCGCTTGGCTCCTTGGCTGTAACACTTTTTGTCGGAGTGTTTAGTGGTGTTATGGACGGAGCACTACTTGGTTGCACCCGCAGGCTTCGTCTTCTTTGCCATATGTCCCTCCCGCTGGCGATTGGGACAGTTCCTTCTGACATGTCACGGTTCGTTGCACTCGAAGCAGATGGGGCCAGATGTCTTGGTAGCCATGGCGAATCCGCGGCCAGCGATGTGGCCCTTGGTTCTCTTGCGCGTTAGCTCGTCAAAGAAGATGTTGCGCATGGTGGCTTGCATCTGTTGTACGTCGAATGATAGGTCGCGGAAAGCCATCATCTTGATGTCCTTGTAGTCCTCGGAGAAACCTTGCACACAGATGTCCTTGAAGCGGCGATCGGAGATGGTTTCCCCCATTTTCTCTAGTTGAGAGCGGAGACGATGTTTCGTGTTGAAAAAATCGTCCGGGTTCTCTCCTGGCTCCGTGACCGTCCTTTCCAGGTCGTCCAGTTTAGCCCTGATCACTTCATCTGTCACTCGATTGTAGTTGGCCTTCAGTTCCGCGAATGCTGCCTGCCCGTCGCCGCTAAGGCCGGTGTCGTCTTCGTGCTTGTGTACGGTTAGTGCAGCCGGCAGTTTGACGAGGCAGAAAAGGATTGCGTAGAGGTCTTTGTTTGCTCTCTCGTATGCGGTGAAGGCGGTGTCCGAGGGATCAGACCTGCGCATTCCCTTGAGAAGTGGCATGATGTCCCTCCGAGTAACGCCGACGACTACACCCAATTTCTTCATCCAGTCGTTGAAGTCCTCTGGTTTCGTTCCATCGAACTTGGGGAGTCCTCTGATGACGTTGGCTAGGTTTGTGGATCCATCACTCCAGAT